TGACAGGAGCTACAAGGATGCTGGAGAGGGACTCCTCATCAGGGACTGTAGCAATAGGACAAGGGGTGATGGGTTCAAACTGAAACAGGGGAAGTTCAGCTTAGATACAAGGAAAAAGTTCTTCCCTGTGAGGGTGCTGAGGCGTTGGCAGAGGGTGCCCAGAGAAGCTGCGGCTGCCCCATCCCAAATCATTCTGTGATTCTATGGTTTAGTGGTGGCCTTGGCAGTGCTGGGGAATTGTTGGACTTGATGGTCTTGAAGGTCTTTTTCAACCAGGTTGTTTCTGATTCCGTGATTTATCATGGAAGTTTAATCTTCCAGTTATGCAAATGAAGATGGACCAGGCACAGAGGGATGTCCCAGGCAGCATATGAAGGGTCATGCTGTTTGTGACAGACAGACGCTGTCTTTTCTCAGAGATCATTCCCACCTCCACCACCTATCTTGAGAACATGGAATAGCTCACAAGGTTTCAGTCATCTGACATTCCACTGGTGTGTGGTGAAGGGATGTCTGAAGGAGGTGGAGGGCTCAGACCCAGTGCATGTTCCTGGACATAGGAATAGCAAAGGGCAGATTGGTAATTGCTGGGTTGAGATCCGATGAAATGAAAGGACAATCTAGTTCATGTGCTACCAGTTGGAAGGAGCTGCCTTTCCCCAGTGTTGTGCTGCATGTTAAGAGAGTCTGGCTGAGGCTCAGCACTGGAGACTGGTCCTAGTTGGCTGATGGCCCATTCTATGGGTGGTGGAGTCCTGCTCTGCTGTCTTGGGTACCTCCAAGTTGTGTAGAAGGGCTTCAAATGCTGCAGGAGTTGGTCAGGCTCCTTCTGCAGACCACCTATCCCTGAGCTGAGTCTGCACATCGCCTAGCACAGCATTTAGCAACACGCAAGTGATAAAAGTGGAAAATGAACATATTTACAACAGGTAACCAGCTGTTAATGCTTCAGTTAGTAGGAGAGGAGTTGGGTAGGAGAGAGCTGTGCTTCCAGCCACCAGCATTTCAGGTAGACTCAAACAGATTCTCTCTCCATTTCAAGTTAAAATCTGGGATGGTTCCAGCGGTCCCTCACATTTTAGAAGGACCCTTGTCCTCAGTGCTGCTTCCAAGGGAATTTCTGTAGGCTGTAGGCCTTGCTCTGCAAGGACTGAACACAACTCATAAATCCAGTCCTTAACCCAGACACCAGGTTTCAAGCTGGCTCCTGAGGAGTTACTGGTTGCCTTTGTTAACTTCAGACTCCCCGAGCAGAACTGCATCCTGTAAATAGAACTCAGTGATTAGTCTCATGCTTAACTATGAACAAGTGCTCCTCTGTGTCAAGGGAGAGGTTTCATTTTGCCTGTGTGATCACATTCAAACATCAGGGAGGGCTTCCTTTCTGTCACAAAGACTGTATTCTACAAAATTCACTGTCTAAGTAGGAGTGGGCAGTGAAAGATTTGGATAAGCAATATAATAACACAGCAACAGGATTCAAAGAAAGCCCCCTGAAGGGTCTTTACAGACCCGGTGGGCATGAAATTAAGTTTGAGGAAGAAGTTCTTCCCTGTGAGAGTGCTGAGGCGCTGGCACAGGGTGCCCAGAGAAGCTGTGGCTGCCCCATCCCTGGCAGTGTTCAAGGCCAGGTTGGACACAGGGGCTTGGAGCAACCTGCTCTAGTGGAAGGTGTCCCTGACCGTGGCAGGGGGTTGGGACTGGATGAGCTTTAAAGTCCCTTCCAACCCAAATCATTCCATGATTCTGTGATACTGTGAATTGAACTGGTGGATGGAGTTTCAGAAGACAGAAGAGGAAGTGATGCTGCACACTGGGCTAGTGGAACACAGAGCTCAGTGCTCAGGATATTGGGAGTGCAAGAAAGCCTGGGCTCCCAGAGTGCTGCCACACGGCTAGAGGAAGAACATCCACCAAGGGTTAAGCACCAAGGCAGTGTGACTCAGGCAGCTCTGGGAACTGACAGCCTCTGCATCCTTGTGCTCCATACGCTTCCTCATGGGATTATTACTGGCCACTGCAGGCAGCACATGGGGCTGGATGTGCCTTTGGTCTGCAGGACTGGAGGGGAGGTGGGGAAGTGGAGTATGGAGGCAGTCTCAGCTGATGAGCAAGCTGCACAGAGGGGAGGAGAGGCACATGAGTAAAGGGCTGTAATTGTTTACTCAGGACTCAGAAGCAAGCATGCAGATAGGGTGAGCAGAGGAGCTATGTCAGCGATGAGTTGCAGGTAGTGGAAAACGACCCTGCCAAGAATTTGCTTTCCTCCTCCTCTCCCATCAGACATCTCTCCTGAGTGAGGAGCAATAGGAGACATTCGTTGTCACAGGGAACAGACACTATTCCTGCTACTCCAAGGAGTGGGGTTGTAGAGACAGTCTGCTTGGGAACCAGAGCTGTTGTGAAGCCTCGGTTCTTCTGTCATAGGATCAAAGGATAATTCAGGTTGGAAGGAGGAGGTCTCTAGTCCAACCTCCATCTCAAAGCCGGGTCAGCTGTGCCATCAGTTCATATTACTCAGGGGTTTATCCTGTCTGGTCTTGAAAATCTCTGAGGATGGAGCCTGCCCAGCCTCTCTGGGCAGCCTGTTCCACTGTGGGACTGTCCTCATCATCCTATTTCTCCTCTGACCCAGTTAGAACCCTCATTTCAGTTTTGCCCGTTGCCTCCTGTCCCCCTACCATGGCCTTTCGTCCTCCACTGTGAAAAGCCTGGCTTCATCTTCTTGGTAGCCTCCCATAGGTACCAGAAGGCTGCTGTTAGGTTTCCCCCAAAGCCATTCCTTCTGCAGGCTGGACAAGCCCAGCTCCCTCAGCCTCTCCAGATGGAGCAAGCCGTGACTGTCTTGGTAGCTCTCCACTGAACTCCCTTGAGTTTGTTGATTTCTTGTGTTGGGGGCCCAAACACTAGGTGCAGCATTATAGTGTGGTGTCGTGGGTTGGCAGCAGAGGGGTAACCTCTTTGCTCTGTTGCCTTTGCTCCTGTTCAGGCAGACCAGGGCACTGTTGGCTCTGCTGCTGTGGCGTGGGGTCAGGCCCTCCCCCCCCCTCACTGCCTACTAGCCCCACAGGTTTTCAGAGCTGCTGCCCAGGCAGCCAGCCTGCAGCCTGTCCTCCTGCACGGGGAGCTTCCTCCTCAGCTGCAGGACTGTGTCTGTCCTTGTGGGAATTCATGGAGATCCTGCTGGACCATTCCTGTTGGGATCCTTTTGAGATCTCCAGCTGGTCACTGATAGTCTTTCAGATCCATTTTTTCATAGTGATCCCCTCCTCATTTAAGAAAAAAATGAAGGAGAGACATTTACAGCACAGAAAAATAACAAGTGGGGAATAAGGCAACTAAAACAGAGCTTGCAGAAGCAGGTACATAAAATAAAACAAAAACTAATACCCACACCTTGAATACATTCAGGTTATCTGTCCCCTTCCCCTTCCTTCACTGGCAGTTCTTCATTTTTGGTACTTTAAAAGAACTTTACACAGAAGGTAGAAGAGGGGCTACCAAACCAACAACTCTTCAGTCAACAGCTGAGAACTTGGAGCTGCAGTGCCTGTTGGTAGTTGGTGTCTCCTCTGGTCTGGCAGCCATTGACCAGGCCACTCTTCGCAGATCAGGGAATATGAGAAGGTGGAGCAGCTTTCCAGTTTTCATTTCCTGTAGTCAGCACAGTGATGCCAATCCACAGGATGGTCAGCACATCCCTGCAACAAGCTCTAATGGCACTAGACGATGTTCTGGAAGAGGCTGGTCATGGTAACAGAGCTCGGTACTGCATAAATCTCCTTGGTTTAACTCCTGCCCATTTTCGGCTGAGAAGCAGAAATAAGCATGAAGGCATGTGGGTGTTTTTTTGGATCTTCATGCTGTTGAGAACATGATGATGTCTGATCTGAATCAGCCACTGCTCCACCTAGTGCAGAATCCTGTCGTAAGTGTTGCTTTTAAGCAGATGCCCAGGGAAGAGTGAAAACACAGCAAGGATATGATGTTTCTCCTGAATACTCACTCAGGCAGCTACTGACTTCATTTCGCAGGTTTCTGTGCACATAATAGCCCACAAAAAGTGCATCCTCCAAGGTTTTGCCCATGTCTATGAACTTGTTTTGTGTCTCCAGTTCGTTATGTTACCTTGACATTAAAAATCCCCAAATGGTGCTCAGCAAAAACAGCCCATTTTTGCCCTTTGAGCACAGCAATAGTCTGAGCCATGTGGTGAGATGTAAAGGTCAGTGTTCACTGGCCAAAATATTCCTTTCATCCCCTGCAAACTCTGCATCTGCAGACATTAGGTGAAATTGCTCATGTAAGACAGGGCACAGTTGCCAAAGCATTTTTGAATGCTAGGGAACATTACAGAAAAAGCACTAGAGTCTGAGATTCTATGATACCTGAAAAAGTTGTCACGGTGCACCCAGGTAGTAAGTTAATAGTAAGAATGGCAGAATCTGGCTTCCTTGAGTACTTCCAATTCTTGAAATACGTAACTTCAGTTTCTGCTAGACCCTGCTTTGGAATTCAGTCTCGCACATAGAACCATATGTAACTCGTTGGGGGAAGGGGGACGTGTGACACGAGAATGGCAGAGCACGGGGAGGTGGCACCATTGGCTGTGAGTTGCACAACCTGGTTGCACTTGGCTGTCTCGCGCATTGGCAGTTGCGTGTCGGGAGGTTTGATGGAGCAAGTGCTCAATTCTGTCTCTGTTGGGTTGGTCTGAGAGTGTGCAGCCTGCCTGGAGAGTGTTGGGCACGACTGTCTGATGGATCTAAAGCAGTGCAAGGCGCTGTAAGAGTGTGGCTGCCCTCTGTGCCAAGTGACCATGAGCAAAGGGCCAGAATGCAACACATGCACGAGGTGAATGAAGGATAAAGTGAAAAGTCACCTTAGCTTGAACAGGGCGGCATTGGGAGGGGAGAGAAAGGGATGTCACATACCATTTGTGGTGTCTGACACAACCTGGTCTCTCTGGAGTCATCCTCTCTGACTTCACTGTTTTCCAGGTGAAGATGAGAAACTTGCTGCTTCTTTGCTAGATGGGAAGTTTCCCCGGAGCACCTCGATGCAAGACACTGTTAGGGAAGGACATGGGATTCCACCACCACCTCAAACAGCCCCACCCCCACCTCCTTCTCCATATTACTTTGACACAGGCCCCCCTCCATCCTTCTCACCACCTCCACCCCCAGGAAGAGCTTATGATACTATAAGATCAAGCTTTAAGCCAAGCCTGGAGGCCAAACTCCATGGACTCCCACAAGTCCTTAGTGCAGCTGAGATGTATGATCAGGCAAGGACTTCCATTCCTTACCCTGAAAGGCAAAAGAGGGCCCGATCCATGATAATCCTACAGGATTCTTCTCATCTTCCCGTGGAGCCAACAGAGATCCCCCGCCCTGGCCCATCTGCGACTCCTCCAGAGAAGCTGAAGAGGAAGGGAAGAGTGATTGACAACCCTTATGCCAACATGGGTCAGTTCAACGTCAGCCTGTTCGCTCCCACTAAGCCACAGAGGAAGAAGAGCCCACTGGTTAAGCAGTTACAAGTGGAGGATGCACAGGAGAGAGCAGCACTGGCCATCACCGGAGGCTTTTCAAGGGAACCCTCTCCCACCCGCAGGAGCCATCGCCTGAGTGGGGTGGAATATCAGCACCATGCCGGCATTGCTCAGGTTGAAGCCACAGGCATCCCCTTCGCCACTGCCATTGCCGGAGTCATGAAGGACAGAGACCGTCGTCTGGATGAGAGGCGGAAATCCACTGTCTTCCTCTCAGTTGGGGCTATTGAGGGCAGCGCCCCCAGCAGCGACATGCCATCCTTGCAGCAGTCCAGGTCTATTGATGAGCGGTTGTTAGGAAGCCGAGATGTTCTACTGCCTTCCCCTGTCTCAGCTTTAAAGCCATTGATCAGCAGCTCATCCTCAACGTTCATCCACCCCCTCACAGGAAAGCCCTTGGATCCAAACTCACCACTGGCGCTTGCGCTGGCCGCAAGGGAACGAGCCCTCTCAACTCAAGTTCCATCCCGGTCGCCCACCCCAATCCACAGCCCAGACTCAGACCGAGCAGCACCCCTCTTTGTGGACATCCAAACCAAAGAACCAGAGCGGGGGGAGTTGGAGAGCTTGATGTCCCCTGCATACTCTCCTGGCGGCAAAGGGGTGATCGGAACAGACTCTGGGACTTTGGCCCCTACAAAGAGCCCGTGGGGGACTCCGTCCACGCTGCGGAAAGAAACCGAGGCCCGAGCAGAAACCCCAGGGAAGGAGGAGAAGAAACAAGAAGACAAGAAGTCCATGATTATTAGCATAGTGGATACATCACAGCAGAAGACCGCTGGCCTCATCATGGTTCATGCCACAAGTAATGGCCAAGATGAGATAGGACTTGAGATAAAAGAGGAGACACCGGCAGTCGCTGAAGCATGCACAGAGCCAGCAGAGTCCCCCAAAGCAGAGACACAGCCCAGCCCAATGGGAAAGCCTCCGGTCAGTCCAGCCTCTGACAAGACTTTGGGACAAGGGAGTTCGGAAGAAGAAGTGGAGCCCTACACGGTCACCCTCCCGCCAGCTCAGCTGTCTTCAAGTGACGAAGAGACCAGGGAGGAGCTGGCCAAGATAGGGCTGGTGCCTCCACCAGATGAGTTTGCGAATGGGGTACTGGTCACCACCCCTGGCACACCAGTCAGCCACCTGGCTACGCCCAGCACGCCATCCATACCAGCGGCAGCAGTAGCACCTTCTACCACTGGCGGAACACCCTCAGGGAAGCCCTCTGATGCCCCCGTAGCCCCAGAGTCTGCTGCAGACTCGGGAGTGGAAGAGGTGGACACCAGAAGTTCAAGTGACCATCATCTGGAGACCACAAGCACCATCTCTACAGTCTCCAGCATGTCTACATTGTCCTCAGAGAGCGGGGAGCCTACTGACACATACACTTCCTTTGCGGATGGACAAACTTTTATACTCGAGAAGCCACCAGTGCCTCCAAAGCCAAAACTCAAGTCCCAGCTCAGCAAGGGGCCAGTTACTTTCAGGGACCCACTTTTGAAGCAGTCTTCGGACAGCGAGCTCATCTCCCAGCAACATGCGGCCACTCTGGCATCAGCCAGCATTGGCCGGCCACGCTACCTCTTTCAGAGAAGGTCCAAGCTATGGGGGGACCCCATGGAGAGTAGGCCAATCCATGGGGCTGATGAAGACAAGCCAACTGTGATCAGTGAGCTAAGTTCCCGACTACAGCAACTGAACAAGGATACACGATCACTGGGGGAAGAACCAGCCGGGTCCACATTAGATCCCGGGAAGAAGTCACCGGTGGTCGCGGCACGGTAAGACACTGATCGCTGGCCGGGAGTGGGTGGGTGCAGGATTTAGGCTCCTGGGGACAGGGAGGTGTGTAAGCGGAGCCTAACTGTGCCAAGTAACCCAGGCTGGTCTAGAGGGGCATTTCAGAGATGTCAGGGAAGATGCAATGCTGGGACATGCCTCCCAGAAGTTGGTGTCACTTGTTCATGGCTCCTCTCTATGCACCGCACATGCAGCGAGCTCACACTGTTGCTTTTCCCTTTGAATTGCCTTCCTGTTGTGTCATGTCCCTTGTCTTGATGCTGCTGTTAAGCTGCTGTATTTACTTGTGGGTTTCACTTCCACGTTTCCTCCTGACCAGCTGATAACAATGTGTGGTTCTCCAATGCTTTTTCATTCCAAAGGATCTCCAAATGTTGTCAGACTGTGCCTTAGAGCTCTGGTCAGTCTCTGCTCAGTGGGAGCATCACGAGGGTGGTCTGTGACAGCCTTTAGGCTGCACTCCATGGCACTCCCCCCGCCTTTGCCCCGTGTCCTGGCACAAGCCGGCTCTCATGACTGCAGGGAGGTGTTCTGGCAGGGGGTTACCTGCAGAGGTGCAGACCCGTGTCCTGCTGGGCACAGTGCCAGGTCACACACGGCTCCGGGCTGGTAGCTGGTGGGATGACTGCTGGCTCAGAGATGTCTGCACAGCACCAAGGTGTGGTAGATCCTCTCACTCCCTGTTCTTCTCCTGAGCAGAGCCTGGATGGCCCAGGAGATCTGGAGGGTCACAGCAAAAGGACCCCAGGACACACAGGAGACTTTTTCTCTTACAAAGTCCTGCTTGGGTTCCCTCATCCTACAGCACTGAGGAGATGCCTGAGAGGTTCCCTCTCAGAGCTGCGGACATCACATTCCCTGAGCAGCTTGGACCTCTCTATGCCCCTTGCACTGCCCTGTTGTTCCCAGTGCAGGTCACCCACCACCTCGGTCCCCACTTTGCCCCATTCTCTCACCCTGAGTCACCCACCAAACTAAACCAAAAACCCTCTAAATTAGAGCCTGAGATTTGAGAACAAACCCTCACAGGGCTTTGAAACTCAGTCACAGCAGGCAGTGACCCAGAATCTCCAGCCTCGCCACAGCAGCACAGCCACGGTGAGCAGATCCCACCAGTGTCACAGTGAGTTGAGACAGGGAGCCCTGAGCTCGGAGGAGCCTTTCCTTTGGGAACCCATCACCATGATGGGTTACAATTGCACATGGTGCTAGCTCAGCTGATGACATTTCATGCTGTAGCACAGGGGACAGTGTCCATAGTGACATCCCCAGGGGAGCATCCCTGTAGCTCCATCCTTCAGCAGCTCACGTCTCCATGCCAGTGTTGGCAGTGCCAGACTGGCTTCACCGGTGATCCACCCCTCAGCAGGTACCAAACTTGTGGTTACCACCACAGTGTGGAACAAAACCCATGGATCTTGCTCTCCTACATGGTTTCATCTCTCAGGACTCAGCCACACGATGCAGGTTAAGGCCATTCCCTGGGGCTGGTGTCTTACACAAGGTCCCTTCTCCCTGCACTGCTCAGTGGGGAATCACAGGGTCCTGTGCTGAGTGCACGTCGTTTAACTGCATTTGGGGACCCTTCTGAGATCCAGCACCCCAGCCCTCGTTCTTCTAAAAGGTGCTGACTGTGCACATCTTCAGACACCCAGAGAACATGGACATTGCCAACTTTTCAGGGCAATTGGAGATGCGATCTTGAAAAGCTTCCCCACGCCAGGCACCAGCCCTTTCCCAAGGCCTGTTCTGGGCCTGGCTGGTGGAGGAGCTGCTGCCTTTGGCCCCTTTGGTGTCCCCAAGCCCACATGGTGTCGGGCTGCAGCCCCACAGCCTTCCTTGTTCCTGCCCTGGCCTCCACATCACCCTGTGACCCATGCAGAGATGTGCAGGTACCCTCCATTCCTAGGAGACACCCTTCTCCATCCTCTGCCTTTCTCTAACCCCTTCCTGTCCTCCATTGCTGCTCCCTTTGATTTATGCGCTTCCCACAGGCCATGTCCTTCCCTTGCCCTGTGTCCCTGGAGCAGACTCTGCCCAAGCTCCTGCTCCATGACATGATGCTGCTGCATTTGCCCTCCTCAGAGACACCAATGCCCTGCCCCAGCCTCCTCCTCACCTGCTGCCACCCAGTGGCACTTCCCGCTGTCCTGCAAACATTCCTGTTCTCTTGTCTGAAAGTCATTGCATCTCTGAAATCTTTATGCTCCCAGTTGATGTCAAAGGCTTGAAATATTTCCCAGGAAGTCAGCTCTAAATAGAGTATCCAGTGATGTCAGCCACCTGCCTTCACTGTGAAAATGCCTCTTTTATGAAATTGCTGTAGTTCAGAAAATAATGTAAGGAATGGTTAGATAACCTTCAGTGACCCATTTCAGGACACACTGTTCTGTCCCTGGGCCTGTCCTGAGAACACCAGGATTACCTCAGCCTCCCACAACAACCCCAGACAGCCTCCTACACAGACCCCGCACTGCTGCGGAGCAGGGAGGGACGTGCCCATGGGCATACATCGCTCAGGGGCTGGAGGTGCTGACCCCCATGTGACGCTGCAGCGTTTTCTGTCATTCTTACACGTAGCTCAGCTCCAGAAAGGATCAGGAGCCAGACTGAAGCTCTTCTGAGAGCCAGAGTTATCCTGAAGTGCCGCAGGGACGGTGAGGTGCCCTTGCAGGTAGCCCTGCAGCGGCCATGGGAGCAGGCACAGGGTTCGTTGCTGGTTTTTCTTCCTCACCACATTAACTTCTGAATTCACAGTAATTGAACCCAAGAGCAGATGACTTCTCCATGCATGTGGGGCTGTACAGCAGGCCCTGACACATTTCTCTTGCAGAGGTCTGTGAGGGTCCTGGCTGGGGACCCCTGGAGCAGGAGACACAAACCACTTCCTCTGTAACTGTGACTGGCTCTATCTCCTTCCAAGACGGTCTTCCACAGGAGGATGTTTGACGAGAGGGACTGAGAAAGACACCAGGAGATACTGAGAAGGAGAACTTAAGGGCAGAGTTAAAGCAATTTTTAGAGACAAGATTTATTCCCACCTTGGGCACTTGGGGCTGAGCATGGCAAGGGAAGCTCTGACAGGCCCATGTGCTCTCAGAGGAGGGTTCTACTCCCCAAGCAGCATGTGTCTGCTTGCTAAGATGCAGCTTCCTGCACGGATGACAGGAGAGCAGAGGGACAGCCTCTATTCCTACTGTCCTACGGGAATAAGCGATGATTTGGGAACACAGGAACTTTGCTCCCTGATTTAGCGTGTCTCTGAAGGCTGATGTGAAGCCGGCAGCAGCTCTCCATGTTTAACATGAATGGGATCCTTGAAGATCCGGTGCCCTGGCTAAGCTGAGCTGCAGGAAAGCGACCAGGCATCTTGATGTGTCCCTGACCTGAAGCTCCCAGCCAGCCCCGGACACGGCTCCTGCAGCAGCAGATGCCCAGAGTGCCCAGAGATGCTCAGTGGCTGCACTGAGCAAGGACCCTGCAGCTCAGACCTGCTGCCAGCACTGAAGCAGCCTCATTGTGTCACATCCACCACCACAATAAAGCTGACGCTGTGGAACAGAGGTGTGCGTGTCTGACCAGCGACCCCGGGTCACGGCCAGCCCGGTGCCAGCCCAAGAGCTATCGTGGCACCAGAGCCCAATCCTGGGGTGACTCACACGTTCCATGTGTGTCAAGGTGGTTCTTGTTCAGTGTCCCCTTGTCCTGTGACCGGCCATGGCCATCCATCCACATCAGGCTTGTGTCATTCCTCATTGTGCGTAGTCACACTCAGACCTCAGCCTCCCACTTGGCTGATGGGGCAGGGGCCATGCACCAGGCAGCCCTCAGAGATGAACATGAGCTTGTGTTGAGCTGAACATGGTAAGCTCACCTTGAGTCAAGCCAGCATCATCTGAAGTGTCAACACAGGTCCAGTTTGGGGCTCCAGCTGATGCATCCAAGAGCCTGGGTTAGAGAGAGCTTTGCAGAGGGTGTTTGTTTGTTTCTTTGCTTGTTTATCTTTAAGCAACAGCTGAACATGCCAAATGTATCATGTGAAGCAGAATTCTAGATACAAAACTGAGTTTTCCAGGTGCTGTTTTGGAAACCCACCACTGCTTTGTATTTCTACAGATCTGAAAGAGAGAGAGAAGAAAATTAAGCCCTTTAGGCATTTAGCTCCTAGGGTAAAGCTTCCTCTTTCTATATAAACTCATCAATTAATTCTGTTTCAGTTAAATGGTGTAACATTTCCAGTGCAAGCTTTCAGCCACTGCACATACAACCCCCTGTTTCCTTGTAGGCTTTTGGTCACTTCACGGTGTCTTAAACCCCTGCACAAAGCAGAGCTGAGCTTTCTTTCCACAGTCAAGGGGATTGTCCATGGAGAGCTGATGAGATCGGCATCTTGGTGCCTTCCCTAGAGGGAGTTTGGGGCTTATGGGAAGTTATTTGCGCTGCACTGAGGTGTGGAGAGGAGGTGGCCTCCTGGCCAAGCAGCAGAGTCCCAGGCAGCAGTCTCAGTCTTGGGAAGCCCTTAGCAGGCGAGAGCCCTGTCCTTTGGTGACATGAAGCAGGACATCCCTGCAGCCCTGCCTGAACCGATGCTGCTGATACCACAAAGGCTGTGAGTCCCGCTGCCCTGTGAGCCCTGAGCTCCCCCAGCACCCTTGCTTTCCCCATGCATCGCTGCAGCCACCGGAGAGGGAGGCAAACCCGCAGCACTGTGACGGAGCCTTGGCAGGTCTCCAGCCCGCTCTCCTGCGGTAGCTGGACCTAAAGATGCTTTAATGCATCTCTGTACAGAACTAAAAATGCTTCCTTTGCTCCATGGATCCCTTTCCATCCCGTGAGAGGAGGCTTCTGCTCATGGAGGTGCACTGCAGCAGGACCACCAGCACTGCAGTGGGGCCACCAGTACTGCAGCAGGACCACTGAGTACTGCAGCAGGGGGTCCCAGGTGGCCCCAGGGGTGCCCACACTTTCTGCTGGTGCAATG